CAGTGTCCCGCAGCTGCTGCCGGTGGCCACGCACCAAGACAGGGAACTCTCAAGCTCTGCGGAACCAAGGTGGCCATACTGGGAATCCCAGGGCAAGCCAGTCTACGGCCAGGTTGCTGGGGACAAAGGGGATTGTGGAGGTGGGAGAAAGATAGCACGGCCCCTCCGCACCCTCAGACTGAACCAGCCTCAGAGGTAGCACGGGAAGAGTGTGTGTCTGTCCTGGACACAGCCGGGGTGGCTTCCCTCTGCAGCTGAGCAACCACTTGCTCAGTTGTTGATTAGGCCACCTGGAGGTGACATGGGGAAGGTGTGGGGGGTCCAGGCCAGTGCCACGCCATCCTCGGTGCCCAGGGGTACTTGGGGCCAACTGCGCTGCGCAGGAGAGCGCTTGCTCTTCGTCATCATCCTCTCTCTGACGCTGGAGCTGTGAGCGCCACTGGGCCTTCTGAAAACCCCGGCAGTGTCCCCTTGGGACTCAAAGCCTCGCCTGAGGGGGGAGCCCCCAGAGTAGGAGCACCCAGCTCCCTGGGGTCTGTCCTGCTGTGGGGGTGCTTTAGCAGGGGCAGGCTTGTGCGGCGTGTGCCTGGGACGCAGAACGGAACACCGTGGGTGGGAAGCAGCTGTCTGAAAGGCAGGCTGGAAGTGACAGGGAGGAGGCAGCATGTGACAGTTCCAGGGCAGTGGCCTGTCCCCAAGCTGGTGCTCGCAGGTGCCTGGAGGGTGGTGACAGTCTAGGCAGTGGTGGGCAGGGCTCCCCAGTTCCCAGGGACTCCTGGGGCTGGCAGAGGCACCCAGAGTCTGGGCTGAGCCAAATTGGTGTTGGCTGAGGCCCAAGCCAGCAGGTGTGGACATCTCTGCTCACGTCAGGCCCAGCCTCAGTGCGTCACCGGGTTGTCAGGGCAAGAGACACTCTTGCTCTGGCACTTCTGACGGGGACACCGGGCACCCCGGGGCCCAGCCTAAGTCAGGAGGCCCACCGCGTCTTCTCTGAACCTGCCGCCTCCGCCGCCCGGGGCTCTTGGTGTTTATTTGCTGTTGTCACCCCAGCAACGGCAGCTGCTGTCTGTGGAGCTGTGGAGACCTGGAGCTCACCCTGCTATGCAGAGGAGAAACGGAGGCTCCGAGAGGTGGAACACTGGCCCCGGGCCACACAGCCTGTCCGTGGCTGTGTGAAGAGCCCTGGCCACTGGGAGAGGATGGAGTTAGCTGAGCTGTGGGAGGAGCAGCACCGAGGCTCTGGGTGTGGGGACTTGGATGCCATCATCAGGAGGCACACAGCCCTGCAGCGGCACCTGGGGCTTGCTGGAGGGACAGCAGGATCCTGGCCATTGCTTCCCAGTCACCTGGGCTAGGAGTCTCCCCAGGGAACCTCATGGGGTAAACAGGAGCCCGTTCAGCCTGAAGCAGGAGGCGGCATCTCCCCTGGGGACCCCCTGCCAGACAGGGCGTGTCTGAGGAGTCTCTGGGCCCTTGACCTCCAGGGAGCCCTGAGCCTGCCTGGGGCTGGGCCTGCCTCTCCCCTGCCCACCCTGACCTAGTCCCTGGCACAGCTTCTGGCCATGGTCCCTTTTCAGGTGACCCGGGAGTCCCCTCCTACCAGCAACTCTCCTCGCCTTACTGCCTCATGGACAGGTCATCTCTGCTGTCCCAGGATTTGAGGGCCACCCCCTCTTGCTGTCCTTTGATGGCTGTTTCCTCACGTGTCACACAGGGCAAGACAAGTGGTCAGGGTGAGGCTGGCGTGCAGGCCGCACCTGGCCGGGGAAGCCAGGACGGACGCATCGCTGGATACCGTGACATCCAGCCACAGTGACACAGACCTGGGTCAGAAGGGCTTGTCCAGCTGGACAAGAAAGTTCTTAGGCAGCTTTTTCACCTCCTGACGAGAACGACGTTAGAGGAGGAAAACCTTATTGGGGGCCCACAGCGTCACAGGTCTCCATCCCTGGGGCTCTCGGAACCCAGTCACCCCACCTCCGAACTTTCTTGCCTTGACTCTGGTGAGCTCTGGGGGGACTCCTCCCACCTGCACCATAACAGGAGGGGATTCACCCATAAAGGCAGTCCAGGTCCCACCTGGGAACAGGTGTCACCGGGTGGAGACCTGTCGGGGAGGAGGTTTCTGTTTTCCTTCCTGTTTCTGAGTGTCCCGAGCCTTGCCCTTGGGCACCAGTTGGGCAGGTGGGCCCTGCTCTGGGTCTCCTTTCCTGCTCTTGTTCAGTCTTCATCCCCCCGCAAGCAGCCATGCCCGCCCAGCCGAGGTCCCCGCGGAAAACCTGTGCAGAAGGCCGTCTCAGACCCAGAGCTTAGCCAGGGCCTGGGATGGAGCCACCCTTTGTCCTCTTTGTCCCCAAATCAAGCCACAGCCTGATCTGCTCTCTATGGGGGCCTGCCTGCCAAGGGCCAGTTTCCCAGGGGCAGGGGCAGGGTGCAGCCAGGCGGGGTGGCAAGCAGCCAGCCGGGAGAGGGAGCCAGGCCCTGTGCTGGCCAGAGGCATCTTCTTTCAGTCTGTAACAGCCCCCGCTGTGCACCTGCCAGGTGTTTGGCCTGCAGAGTTTCAAGGGTGGCCATCTCACCCACGCGAGGGAGAGACTGTTACTGGAGAGGTGTCAGAAGCGCTCCCCTGACCGTGTGGCACTGAGGGCTCCTGGGAGTCTGCCGAGCAGCCTGTGGCTCTCGGTCTGGAACTGAAGGCAGGTGGGGGTCATCAGGAGCCTAAACTGGCCCTGAGGGCCGGCCGTCTGCTTGGTTTTTTGGATTTTTCATGGTGATGGTTTTGTTTTGGGGGCTTCTTGTGGGGTTTTTTGGTAGTGGGGATGGAACCCCAAGGTGCTGACGACTGAACCACATCCCCAGCCATTTTTATTTCTTATTTTGAGACAGGGTCTTGCTAAGTGGTTTAGGGCCTTGCTGGGTTGCTGAGGCTGGCCCCGAACTTGCCACCCCCCATGTTTGGCACGTGTTTGGCACCAGCAGAAGAGCTGAGTGGTGGCAGATCAGCAGGCCCATAAAGCAGAAAACCTCTTCCTCTAGCTCTTTGCAGAAGTGATTGGCGGGTTCCCTGTCTGATGGGGTCTAGATGGGGCAGCTGTGGGCAGTCTGGATGTGTCCATTTACAGAGAGTGTTTGGGGAGCAGAGCACACAGGAGCCACAGGTGTTGGGGAGGAGGGGCAAGAGGAGACTGCAGGGGAGCAGGTGGGAGGGGAAAGCAATTCTGTAGGGGAGCCACTGGGGCCTGTCAGCGGCTGGGCTTGGGGTGGTCAACGGGAGCTGCAAGAGTAGCCCCCCCCTGCTTCCCACCCCTGACTGCCAGAAACCATCAGGGATGAGGTTCCAGAGAATTCTGAAACTTGTGTCTCTTCTGTACCCCAGGTCACACTTGGACCTGGTTCTACCCAGCAGCTTATGCACTCAGATGGTAACCTGAGCACCTGCTGTATACCATCTGGATGCTGGGCATGGGGACAGGCAGTTATGGGCCTGGCGGTGCTAAAGGGGAATGGGGAGAGGGCTTGCGTGGCAAGTGCTGACACCAGCCTGCTACAGTGACAGGAAGACCTGCTGGGGAGCCACTTAGGGTACAGCAGGGCTCTGCAGGGGTGTGGGGTGTGGGGTGTGGGTTCCAGGGAGGAGGTGGAAATTTGGAGGCAGCAGGAAGCCCAAGGTTTTCAGCAGAGAGGTGGTGGGTAGAGGTGGGTTGAAGGAGGTGACCCCAGCTTCTGTGAGTAGGAGGGGCCCTGGGGGTGGGGGAGTAGGAAAGGCCCTGGGGGTGGGGGAGTAGGAAGGGCCCTGGGGGTGGGGGAGTAGGAAGGGCCCCAGGGATGGGGGAGTAGGAAGGAGGCAGAGCCGAAGCAGCAGCCCTTCTGCAGATCTTCAGGGACCTCACAGAGCAGAGCACCTACAGCCTCTGGGCCTCTGGGAGCTGTTAGGCGTCAGCCCGCCCGGCCCCCGGGTGGAATCTGCATTGTACTAGGTCTCAATGGGCTTGTCTTTGGGGTCCAGTCTGGAGGTTCTGGTTTAGGTCTTCCCTGTCTCCCAGATGCCAGGGACGGGGCTGGGGGGACACAACACTCTCTGTATATTGGAGGAGGAATCGGGAGGTGGGTGAGATGAGTATGGCCAAGGAGGAGGGTCAGGCATGGCCTGGGGTCTGCCTTGTGCAGTTTGCAGGTGCCGTCCATGTGCTAGATCACAGGCCAGGATGAGACCTGACCTCTGGTTAAGTGCATTCCTGCAGGGACAGTTGTGACAGCCAGCGCCCCCAGTGGCCTACAGGAGATTGCGGCCTTCTGTTCGCCCCCCCCTCCCCCCAGGCTGTCCATGAGTCAGGTGAGGGACCCACGGGAATCGTCGGTTCTTGGTGTAGATGTTTGCCCAAACTTAGCTAATTGTGTGCTTTGACTATACAAGTTGACTGCACATCAGTCACATCTCCGAGAAGCCCTTCAGTGCCATCTGGGGCAACTTACACAAACTGCTCCTGGCAGTTCCACTTTCCTGAGAGGAGCTGCTGCTGGCCCAGAATCCCAAAGCAGGGGACGGAAGCTTCTGGGCCCAGCACTTGGCACCATGTTTACGTGGTGGATGATGATGTTGAAACCTGTGGAGACACTGGAACTGGTAGTCAAAGGAGTTGGGCACACAGTGGGCAACCAGTACAAAGGCCCTGTGGTGTGTCCAGTGTGTTATGGCATGGCAAACCTGTCTTGTGTGTCTCCAGGGAGTGCGGTGGTGGCACCCAGCACTTCTGCACACTCCTGGAGAGCACACAGGCTCCAGTGGCTTTTATGTGCAACTTGTTAAATTCTTTAGCAACTCCACACGGCAAGTATTATAATTATCCTCATTTCCAGACACACAAAGTGTGGCCTGGAAGTTAAGTACTTTTCTAAGGCCCCACAGTGAGCGAGTGGGCCGGAGGGGAGGAGGCAGGAAGGCATAGCACCCTGGGCTTCTTTCTGAGCCATTAAGGATTTATTTTAAGGTCTGCAGAGCTGCAGGGGAAAGGGACCAGTCAGATGTATATTCTGGAATTTTGAAAAGCAGGAGATTGACAGGGACAGCAGTGTGAGCTGAGAGGGGTGGGTGAGGAGTCCACTGTGGCTGTGTCCTCCAGAAATCTCCAGGATGGAGGCTGTCGGGCCCACCCTCTCCTTCCAGAGCCCAGCCGGTGGGCCCTCCAGCCTCTGACTCTGCCTGTCCATCTCTGCCCCTGCAGGAAGGATGCCTCTGGCCCTCAGAGAGCACGGTGTCCAGCGGCGGAATCCCAGAGGTGAGTCCCAGCGCTGCCTCCCCTCGACACCCCTAGCACTGCAGCCTCCCCCGCTGCCACAGAAAGGGTGTCACTGCATAAGGCCCATCCCTGGGCCCTGCTCTATAGATTGCTCCTGGGTGGCCGGGACCCCTGCCCCAGGGAGAGCCTTTTCCCACGTGAGGTGGCGCAGTCCTGGTGCTGCCCACAGGCGAGGCCGGTGGACCCCAGCGGAGACCCCACCCCGACCTGCCCCCCCCGCCCCTGACCCGTCGCCCGCCCCCCAGCCGCAGGTCTACGCCCCTCCTCGGCCCTCGGACCGCCTGGCTGTGCCGCCCTTCGCCCAGCGGGACCGCTTCCACCGCTTCCAGCCCACCTACCCCTACCTGCAGCACGAGATCGACCTGCCCCCCACCATCTCGCTGTCTGACGGGGAGGAGCCCCCGCCCTACCAGGGCCCCTGCACCCTCCAGCTGCGGGACCCCGAGCAGCAGCTGGAGCTCAACCGAGAGTCGGTGCGCGCGCCCCCCAACAGAACCATCTTCGACAGTGACCTGATGGACAGCGCCATGCTGGGCGGCCCCTGTCCCCCTAGCAGTAACTCGGGCATCAGCGCCACGTGCTACGGCAGCGGCGGGCGCATGGAGGGGCCACCCCCGACCTACAGCGAGGTCATCGGTCACTACCCGGGGTCCTCCTACCAGCACCAGCAGAGCACCGGGCCGACCTCCCTGCTGGAGGGGACCCGGCTCCAGCACCCGCACCTCGCCCCGCTGGAGAGCAAAGAGGATAAACAGAAAGGACACCCCCTCTAGGAGCCGGGGGCCAGGCCGGGGCAGCATGGCTTAAGGCAAAACACTCGGCACTTCCTAAAGGAGAAGAGAGGAGGGCAGGGTGACACACCCCCTCCGTGTATAAATATTTACATGTTATGTCTGGTCTGAATGCACAAGCTCAGAAAGCTTGCAAAAACAAAACAAAACAAAACAAAAAAAAACACGTTTCTTTGTTGAGCTGTCTTGAAGGCAAAAGAGAAAAAAAAAATTCTGCAGTAGTCTTTTGTTCCCAGTTGAGCTGCGTCGTGAATGCTTAATTTTCTTTTGTTTATGATGATTTCACTTAACTTTAAAGACATATTTGCACAAAACCTTTGTTTAAAGATCTGCAATATTATATATATAAATATATATAAAATAAGAGAAACTGTATGTGCGAGGGCAGGAGTATTTTTGTATTAGAAGAGGCCTATTGAAAAAGTTGTTTTCTGAACTAGAAGAGGAAAAAAAAATGGCAATTTTTGATGCCAACTCAGAAAGTGTGTATTACCTTGTAAAGAAAAAAAAAACCTACAAAGCAGGGGCTTAGAGTTATTTATATAAATGTTGAGATTTTGCACTATTTTTTAATATAAATATGTCAGTGCTTGTTTGATGGAAACTTCTATCATGTTTGTTGAGACTTGGAGGAAGACAGGTCAGAGCTTCAGAGTGGACCTCAGGCAGAGGGGTGCCCTGGGGTCTGGAGAGGCCCACCAGGGCTTCTGCAGCGCACATGCTTCTGTCTCGATAGGTTGTTGCCACATTATACATTCCCTACCGAAGGGGACACATTTCTTCCTTCTGGGCCAGAATAGCCTTTGGATGGCAGGCGAATCAGGAAAGTTCCCCCGCAGGCGCCAGGTTCCAGCTGGTGGATTTTGCCTTTCCCAAAATGAAAATAAACTGCTAACGAAGGAATTTTAGTTTTTCTTCCTCTTTTTTAAACTGCAAAGGTCCCATGGGAAGGGCAGGGTGCTGCTGGCAAGCTGGGGCTGCCCTCTGTGCGTGCTGCTAGGGATGCTCTCGAGGGGCCCTACCCGGCTTGCTCCTGCAGAGTGCTTTGGTGATTCAGCTGGCCCCAGCGTTTGCAGGCCAAGGTCAGTGCCAAGGTCAGTGCAGCGCACTGACTCCTAGGAAAGGCCTCAAGCGTGGCATTTGGCGTCCTCCCCATGGGCTCTGATTCACGTATCAATTTTGACCTAAGGGGCCAATAAACAGACCACCTGAGGTGACAGGTGACAGCCAGGTGTCTCCCTGGCATATAAAAGGGTTAAATTGGGATGATGGTCAGACCAACAGAAAGCCTGCTCCAGGCTTTAGAACTCCTTACCTCCCTCCCCACGTTTGCATTCCCTTCCCCATGGAAACGGCCACTGCTGATGGCTATCTGTGTCCTCGCCTGCATCTTTCTCTGGTCAGCTTTGTCCAGCAAGTCTCCTTACTGCGCAGACTGGGACTGGCTGGACCCTTGATGAGGAGTAGGATTGGGCACAGGTGAATAGAGGTGACAGGAGACCAGAGGGGCCCTCGGGGTCCAGCAGGGGCTGTGGCTGGAGCTCGGGGTCTTCTCACAGTGGACCTGCTACACAGGAGGGACCCCGACCCCTGTGGATAGGGCAGGCTCCCACACTGCCATCCCCTCTGGGCCTGGGAGATGTCCCCTCGTTCGGGGCAAATGCTACCCAGTCAACTGACCTAAGAGAAGGATCTAGGAGGCGTGGGACATAAGCCACTTTGTACCTGAAAACTGCTCAGAAGTTCTGACCGCTGGGCCTCTGTTTCGAGGGGTATTTTAAGAATGTGATGACCCCAGAACCCGGGCCCGAGCTTTCCGCAGAAAGTCCCCCATACCTCAGTAGCAGAACCTGCCCCTGTGGGGCCTTGAAGAGGATTCTTCTCGAGGTGGTGCGGAGAAGTCAGTATAGCTTGCCCTGAAAGGTCCAGGGACCCACAGATGTTCCAGCGAAACCTTCCTTGATGGGAAGCGTCTCTGGTGCCTTAGTAAGGAAGCAATCACCCTCTCGTCCCCTGGCGGGACGTTCCTGGACAGTGCCTCACTCCCCGGGACTGGCATCCTCTCCCTTGGTTCACAAAGGGCTCCCCGTCACCCTCTGGCGTCTCCACCCCTCTGTCCTGGACAGGCCCACTTGGCGAGGCACCGGCCTCCTATCCCTGTGGTCTTCATGGTCCAGGACTGTGCGTAACTCCCATCTGGGTCAGAAACCTAGAAAAGTGGGCTTCATTTGTACATGTGTCCTTAGCCACAGCCGGGGGAACCGCCCTGCTGTCCCTCTTGGGACAGGCTGTGTGAATCTTGTTGCTTCGTGGGGTGGCCTGTGCTGTAGTGAAGAGGGAGTGGGAGTGCGTGGCTTTGACCTCAGCTGGCCTGAGGGCAGGGCCCACCCCACCCCTCTGGTTCCAACCAGTGTAGAAGTCCAGGGTCCCTGGCCTTCATGCCCATGGATGACTGTTGCCGAACTTCAAGGAGAAGGGGGTTGGCAGGGCAGTGAACACCCAGAAACCCGATGGGGGGTGTCCATCTGGAAACCAGTGCTGGAGAAGCTCCCCGCTTCCCCGCGGGTCCCCGCAGCTCTGGGCACACTCTGCTCGCGGTGTTGGTGGTCACCTCATTGTCTTTGAAGCACCCCTAGGAGACCACCCTTTTCCGTGGGAGGTTAGGTGGGGTCCTGGGAATGGCTGGTTTGAGGGGGACCAGTTGGTTTTGGGGTGCTGCTTCCTTCACACACACACCCCCGTGCCCATGGGCGACCCCGATGTTTCCTTCAGAGAAACACTTTCTTCTCTGCAGAGCCGGGGTCTGTGCATGGACCCCCAGAGTGCACCAGGAGCCCCCATCTTTTCAAAAGCCCGATGTTTTTTGCAAAGAGTAAGCGACCCCTTTCCCCCTCATGTAGCAAAAACCAGGGCAGGCCAGAACCGGGTCCGTCCCCTGTCCTATCCGCTGTCCCCGTGAATTGTACGTTTCAGATAATTTTTTCCCCGTGTGCAACACAGCTTCCAGAACCTCAAAACGTCCGATGATATGGAAGGAAATGTGTCTGTTTTGTTTTGTTGCTTTGTTTTTTCCGGAAGCTGTGCTGGGAACCTCGCTGGGCCCTGGAGCTCAGAGGCCACGCGACTTCCCGCCGCCCGTCTGCCCGCCATGCTTGCACGTTGCCTTCTGCCGTTGACCGCTTCCTTTGCAGCCGTTTTCCGCGTTCTGTTAAGTGAAACTCCTGTAAGCTCTCCTTGCACGCCGGGTGCAGCCCGAGTGGCTGCTGCCTAAGACTCTGAATCTGGGCGCCCATCCACAGGCCTGGAGAAGCTGCTTGTTGTGTATCAGTGATCATTAGTGGCAATGATGACACTCTGAAAGCTGCAATACTTAGACAATAAATTTTACAGTTCTTTGGAACAAGGCTTCTCAACTTCTTTGGCTGTATTGCTCTTCTCCCTTCCAAACTCCCACCCCCTGCCACCTTCTAGAACAACCCCAGGGTGCATTTAGTGGAGAGAGAGAGAGATCTCAGCACTGCTTTGCAACTTTAAGTTGAGTGGCTCAACCTTTCTGTTGTAGCTCAGGAAGCCCAGTGAAAACACCTACTCCAACATCGTTCCAATATAAAAAAAGGGTGGCTACTGGGATTAATTGTTTCCAAAACATGGTATGCTTTTCCTCCCTCAGGGAAGATCATTATTTACCAATGCAGGATGAAAATTCAGACAAGGTCTGAGAGCAAGGAAGTATCTTAAGTGGGTTTCTTCCAGAAGAACCGTGAGACGTGGCCTCGTGTGCAAGGGATGGATGGATTTAGGATGTGTCCTCCTGCGTTCAGGGGGTTGACTAAGGGAGGTCAGAGGGGGAAGAAAAGTGAGGGAAGGAGGTGGTTTTAGGTCAAGTCCCAGCTCAGCCTGTCCCTCTGGGGCCTGTGGGTCTCTGGGGTAGCTGCACCAGGAGGGGTGGACACCCAGGCCCTCTGACCTCATGCAGAAGACTGGAGCAAAGAGGTCCCAGAGTGGTCCACCCACTCGCCAGCCCTCAGCAATGCATGCGGGGTCTGGAGGAGGGGTGTGCAGACCCCTATAAAGGTTTCCAGGGATCCTGAGTGGGACCCCACAGTAGGACCCCACAGTATCCACTATAGAAGGCCTGCAAGTGCCCAGCGGAGGAGGCACCAGCACACGGGCGTCAGCTGCTCTTTCCAGGAACTTGGGCTCTGCGTGGGGTTCCTATGCTATGAGCAAAGTCTCCCTGAGCCTCCTGGACCAGTTTGCAGGCCTTTCTTCCAGGAGTTGGGACGGACCAGGGAGCCTTTTCCAGCCATGGAGGGGAGTCTGGGGCTCCAGCCGGGCGGGACCCCTCCCAGAAGGACAGCTGGAGCAGTCAGCCGCTCAGCTCCAAACTGGCAGTGAGGGCAGCTGAGACAGCATGGGCAGGGAGCTCTGGCTAGGAGCTCAGGCAGGGAGCAGGGCCACGCCACCCTTCCCAAAGCTGGCGACTCCACGTTCCCAACAGCTCGCCTTTCACTTCCCTGGGTTTTTTGTTTGTTTCTATTTTTTTTTTTAACACTCTGGATGCCAGGCTGGCTGCAGGAAGGGCCCATGCCACAGACCCCCAGGCTTTGTGCTGGTGTTAGAGACCCACGTGCTCACTGACACCTCTGCCAGCAGGAGAGCGGCCACAGGAGCCAGTGGGTGGCCCACGGAGCTGCGGAGCTGTGTTCCAAGCTGGGAGATGGTGCTCCCCCACCCAGGGTGGGGGTTACCTCCAGATAAATCCAGGTAAGCTGAAAATACTGTAAGCGTCTGGTGCCTTCTGAGAAACTTCTGGGGTCTGGTCAGAGCAATGAGCAATGAGCAATGAGCTTGTCCATCTGGCCAGAGCCCTGTCCTCCATCACTGCCTCTGACGTCCCTCTCCCTTTCCTGGATGTGGGTGGGGAGCACCTCCTAATCAGCAGGGGCCCCTCCTCGCCTCCACCATTCTGCCTGGGGCCAGGCTGACACCCCCACAGGGGTACCCCAATCTGGTGGGGGTTTGGAACCCCCGCGGTTCCTTGGAGGAAGCCTCAGGAGGATGCTGACACTCAGGAGCCCACAGATGCCCCAGGAGAAAGCAAATGGGGTGCACCTCTGGGCTTTCTCACCATGTGCCTGTGTCACCACTGCCCTCCTGCCCAGAGGCCCTTCGCTCAGCCCCTTGGCTGTCCTGACCTCCTCCAACCATGGGGACCCACTCAGCCAGCACCTCCTCCAGGAAGCCTCCGGGATGCCCAGGCTTCTCCACGCCATCGCCACTGGCACTTGCTGCATGTGGCATCCATGGCCCCCCAGGATGCTGAGCTGCCTGAGGCCAGCCCCAGACTCCCAGCCATCATCCAGAGGGGACACACCCCTGGGCAAGCAGGCCTGCACTCCCCAGCTGCCTCCATCCTCCATCTCCACCCAGGAAACGGAGGGCAGAGCACTCAGCCGCCTGCCTCTCCAGCTTCCAAGAGTTGGGTGCGCTATCCCAGCGTCCCATGCTGCCCCCCCCACTTCCTCAAAGTCTCCACGTGACAGTCAGGCCAGCAGGCGTGCACTGCACAGCTGCCCCACCCTGTGAGCCCTCTCACATTCACCCTGGGGGCCAGGAACAGCTCTCTTAAGCTTTGTCCAGGGCTGGGGGCTTCTGGCTGCAAATGAATGAAAATAAGCGTCCAGTGGTGTGAGCCCCAAGGAAATGCGCTAGTTTCAAAGGGAGTGCGCGGCCTGCTGGACCCTGCTGTGTGCATGTGCCCTCTAGAACAGGGGCCAGCACACTGCAGCCCAGACACCAACCCTCCAGCTGCCCACTGCCAGCCTTTGTAAATAAAGTTTTATTGGACACTAGCCACAACAGTTTAATGATTCAATGTTTAGGGCTGCCTTTGTGTTTCAAGGACAGAGTTGAGTAGTTAACTACAGATACCATGTGGCCCAGAGAGCCGTAAGTATTTGCTAAATAGCCCTTTGCTTTAGACTCCCACATGGCTGCAAGCTGGCTGCTACTGCCCCAGACATCACGCTCAGACACACAAAAGGGGCATTCTTTCTTCTCGGCAACATTTTAAAGAAAGTTTTAAAGACATATTTTATTTTCATAACAGGGTTCATATTTAACAGAAAAATCGAGATGATAAGGTGTCCCTATATCCAGTTTTACATATGATCAACACCTGGAACCAGCGTGGTATGTTTGTCACAATTAACCAATCAATATCAAAATGACCTCGAACTAAAGCCCCGACTTTATGCAGAGTTCCTTAGTTCTTCCCCCTCTGTGTTCGAGGGTCCCATCTAGAAGTTTCCACTGTGGTTAGTTCTGTGTCAACCTCCAACCTCCTCCCATTCCTCTGGACTGTGACAGTCTCCCAGCTGTCCCCTGTGTTTTCGGACCTAAGTCCCTCTTGGCACTGCTTGGCACCCCGTGGAAGCCCCTGACTGTCTCTTTACCTTGGGGTCATGGTCTGGGGAGGAGCCAGAGAGGGGGACACCTTATCAATGTGCCCAGGACACACCGCGTCCATGTGGCCTGTCACTGCGGAGGTTGGCCCTGTTCCCCGAAGGAAGCGTCATCTGCCGAGGTCCTCACCCTCCCCCTGCACTCTCAGGAAGAGAGTCACGGAGCCCGCTCACTAGGAAGGAGCGGAGGGCGTATCCCCACCTCCTGGGACGGGGAATCTGCACAAATCGTTGGAAATTCTTCATGAGCGACTCTTCAGTCACTCCTACCCGGGTGGACGCAGCGATGCTCATTCTGTTCCTCGAGCTGGAGCCCAACGTCTTCGTTCTGCGGCTCCGATCACTCCAGCTTTGGCCACTCGGCCCCTCTGTCCCGGTGACCCCAGTCCACCTCGTGAGCTGAGTCGTCCAGGCCAGGTGCTGTGCTCAGTGAGCACCCTGACTGTGGGGCATCCTCCCGTGCCCCAGCCTCGCCTTGACCACGGTTTCCCCAAGGGCTCCTTTGACAGGGACGTCGTGTTGGGAACCGAGGTCCAGGTCCTGGGTGTGCTTGTGGCAACCGAGGCACCTTGACTTCCAGGCCCCCTCAGATGCTGGGGCCAGGAGACATGGGTGCGTCTGCTGACCTGGGCTGGCCCCTCCGTTGGCTGGTCTGCACCCTCCCCGCCACAGTGGAAGGGCATTCTCGGCTGATGGACTGCTCCAGACCAGCGGGACTCACCGTCCTGGGAAAGCACGTGGACCACCGGAGCCGGAGCTTTCCGGCAGGCAGGGCCCTTGCCTTCGCCCAGGGTCCAGACTTCACTCATGTCTGAAGTCACTTAGGTTGGTAGCTGTCCCCTTTCCGTGAGGCTGTTTTGTACGCTTGGCAAATTCTGCCTTCATCATGGGATCCCCCAACATCCTGGTTAAAAAAAAAAAAAATTAAAAAGGTTTACATACATTTAATTTCATTCTTTTTAAATTTTTTTCTTTTAGTTATAGATGGACACAACATATTTATTTTGTTCATTTATTTTTGTGTGGTGCTGAGGATGGAGCCCAGTGTCTCACACATGCGAGGCGGGCGCTCTGCCACTGAGCCACAGCCCAGCTCTCCATTTCCTTCTCTGTGTTGTAAAGATCTACAGGTTTTGGTAAACACGTAGGGTCATTTATCTACCACTCCGGGGTCATTCCGGAATAGTGAACTGCCCTTTAAAAGATCCCTTCCACGTCACCTATTTAACCCTCTCCCCGCCAGGACCCTGTTCTCAATGTCATTGTAGTTCCACGTTTCAGAGAATGCCACGTCCCTAGAGTTATATGCCACGTGACCTGTTCCCACCAGCTTCTTTCATTTAATAATATGCATTTTAGATCCATCCGTCTCCTTGTCATGGCTTGGCAGTTTGTTTCCTTTCGTGGCCAACAGCATTCCATACGTGCCCTATTTGATTGATCCCTTCACCTATCGAAGGACATTTTTTGTTGCCACTTTCTAACGAGGACCCGAGCTGCTAGGACACTCCCACGCAGAGTTCTGTGGGCACAGGTATCAAGCCAGCTAGGTCGGTCCCAGCTACATGACCTCCGGATCACACCATCTGTTGTGAGCGGGTCTTGCGAAGGGCTGGCTTTGTCTAGGTGGACGCTACCATGTCTGGTTGTTCCAGCACTCTCTCTCCTACATGGAGCCACCCTGCTCCTTTGTCCAAAATCAGTTGCTGGTCTGGGTCTTTCTCTAAGCCTTTATTCTGTTCCACTGATCAGTTTGTCAATTCTTACGATTCCTATCGCTTCCTAGTAAGTCTTCAGCTCAGATGCCCCCGACTGTTCTTGTTCTCTTCGGTGCTGCAGGTCTATTGCTTTCAATATCTGTTAAATAGTTCTCTGCGATGGAGATTGCACTGAGTCGATGGGTTGAGCTGGGAATCCCTGTCTTCTTCAGGAC